TTTCTGTAGAGTTCCGGAGGACGGGAATGAAGATGGCGGCCTCCCGGTCTCCGGCCCGGAGGAGCCGAGAGCTTGGGGCCCCACTCCTCAGTGCGCCCTCAGAGAAAAGTGCCCAGTCACTCCCATCTCCCTGGCCTCTGGCTGCGCTCCGAGCTCACCCAGCCTGCAACCGGTTCAAGGTAACCCCGAGCTGAGAGCTCACTCCTCGGCTCTGTCTCTGTAGCCGGCTTCCCTGCTCTAATACCTGCGAGCTCTGTGACACTCAGACACCCCCGATCCTTCTGTGACCCCGCGGGACCTGGGGCCACGCTGATCCCGTGTGGGCTTCACCCCAGTTTAGCCTCTGGAGCGATGTCCCTCAATGGAGCAGAACTTTTAAAAGTCCTGATTTTGTGCTCCGTTGCTCCTCCACTTGCTGGGAGCCGGCCTCTCCCCCCGCGGTCTATCTTCCCGTCGCTTTGGATTCACCTCTCCGCCAGTCCTACCTTTCAGAAAGTGGTCGATTTTCTGTTTCTAGAATTGTTGCTGTTCTTCTCTTCGGTCTCCTGTTGGGTTTGTAGGTGTTCGCAATGGATTGATAAGCTATCTAGCTGATCTCCTGCTACCTGATGTAGTCTCAGCCTGCTACTTCTCCGCCATTTTGACTCCCCTATTTATTTATAAGTAACCTCCATGCCCAGTGTGGGGCTTGAACTCACAACTCCAAGATCAAGAGTTACACACTCCACTGACTGAACCAGCCAGGTGCCCCAAGCCGTTAATTTCTTATAATGAGCTGGTTTAAATGACATAAATATTTTATTTTTTTAAATTATTGTTTTAAGATTTTATTTATTTATTTGAGAGAGAGAGAGAGAGAGAGTGAGCATGACAGGGGAGGAGGTCAGAGTGAGAAGCAGACTCCCCGCTTAGCTGGGAGCCCAATCTGTCCTGGGACTCTGGGATCATGACCTGAGCTGACGGCAGTCGCTTAACCAGCCGAGCCACCCAGGCGCCCAGTGACCTAAGTATTTTAAATTAGAGGAATCAGCATTACTTACATTTTTGAATGTGGATGTGGTCCCATGATATGGAGAAAATCCTTTCTCACAGACTAATTATAAACAGTGACAGACTTTTTTCTTTAAGCAATTCACATTTACCATCTCTGTACTCTTTTGTTTCATTTGATTCAAAACCTAAAGAGGATTAATAGGACATTTTGTTTCAGAGTTGAATCTTACAATATCTAGCAACTGTTCCTATATCCTTTTCATAAATCTCAAAGTCAGACAAGAATCTGAAACTTAACATGACCATGGGTCATTTGTTACACATTCCATTCTCTCACTCATTCCATCGTGATGAGAGCACGCCCCAGCAGTTGTTCCTAGCCTTAGCTGGTGGATACTTGAATGTGGCATGTGTATACTTTAGTATTGTTCTTGCTAGACAGAAGCAGACCTGAGTTATTAAAAAGTGACAGTATAGTCCTAAATCTTTTTTTTTTTTTTTAGATTTTATTTATGTATTTGACAGAGATCATAAGTAGGCAGAGAGGCAGGCAAAGAGAGGGGGAAGCAGGCTCCCTTCTGAGCAGAGAGCCCAATGCAGGGCTTGATCCAAGGACCCTGGGATCATGACCTGAACTGAAGGCAGAGGCTTTAACCCACTGGGCCACCCAGGCACCCCAGTCTAAATCTTTCTAAACATGTTTATCAGAAACTCAAATCTATGCCCAGAGAAGACAGGAAAAGCTTTATTACAAGGGCTGCATGAATTACGAATGACCTTGGCAGTACAAATTAACTCATTGGTGGTTTCTTCCTTATCTACCCCAACCCTCCACAACCAAACTCTTCTCATTTTTCCCTTCTGTTTCCTTAGTTTTAGAGCAAAAAGAGCAAACCTTAAATGAGGGTGAAATAAAATACTCTTTTCTTCAAAGATCCCCAGCCTTCCTGGAGAGGAGCTACTATTACTCTAGGGAAGTAGGAGGAGAATATTCAGATAACGAGGCCCATGGAATGGGTGAGTGAAGGTGATGCTGAACTCACTCATCTTTACAGATAATCTCATAAAACTCTGGAAAGCTGTAGGAGACAGGGCGTCACCAAGAAATGGTGTTGCACAGAAACAGGTTTAAAGACCAGCTAGGATGTGTCTATATCTGTTTCTAGGTTTATCAGAGAATAGGATATATGTTTTTTTCCATCTGCATTAGAGTAGAATGAGGTTTGTTGATTTTTTTTTTTTAAACAATGTATTCTTTATCTAATGGCCCAAGATTTTTTCATGTTGTCTAAAACTAGTTGCAGACCAAATAGAGAAGGCAAGAACTTACTCTCATTTAAAAAAAAAAAATTATTTTTTATCTTATTTTTAGTAAGCGCTGCACTCAACGTGGGGCATAAATCATGACCCGAGGTCAAGAGTTGCATGCTCTACCAACTGAACCAGCCAGGTGTCCCATTATGCTCACTTTTTATAAGCTTTAGAAACAGCAAATAACAGTTGGATTCAGGGCCTTTACAAAAGTAAAGACTCATTTATATTCTAAATTATAGCAGGTGTGTAATGATGGTGAAGAAACATTAAATGGCTTAATTCTGGATGTTTATAAGTGCTGAAGTTTTTAGAACATTTTGAGCTTATTACACAAAGTAGCAGTAACGGGAGAAAATGATCTCTTAGATCTAGGACTTAAATATATTTCATTACATAATGGGTTCCTCTCCCAGCTAAATCATGTGAGCCTATCTCTGGGATGGGTAATAGAACTGGACTAAGCCAAGAAACTTTTCAAGTGTTAGTTCTTTTATAACTTTCAATAAAAAATATTTTTGAGTTAACATTTTTAATTAATTTTATTTTAAAAATTTAATCACCTCAGTAAATACATATTGTATATTTTTGCCTTTTGGTTAAGTAAATAACCATTAGTGATAGAACAGAGGTTTGGAAATCAGGGAGCTCTTCTTGTCTTTTCTGTGTTGTAGATTAATGCTCTAAGGGACAACTCATAACTACCCCGAGGCTGTCTTCTTATCTGTATACTGTATGGGTAGGCCCTCGATGCCCAGTAAGGGAGTCACTAGCCACAGGTGGTTATTGAGCCTTTGAAGTGTGGCTGGTCCAAATTGAGATGTGCTCTAACTGTAAAATACACACTGGATTTTAAAGACTCAGCACAGAGATAAGAATGTAAAATATTTTATTGCTAACTGTTTATATTGACTACGTTGTTGGAATGATAATATTTTGGGTACACTGGTTAAGTAAAAATACAATTAAAATTAATTTCATCCATTTCTTTTTCCTTTTTTTTTTTTTTTAAAGTAATCTCTACACTCAGTGTGAAGCTCAGTCTCATGACCCTGAGATCAAGAGTTGCATGCTCTACTGACTGAGCCAGCCAGGTGCCCCTTTTATTCCTTTTTTTAATGTGGCTGCTAGAGAATTTTAAATTCCATACATGACTGGGGCGCCTGAGTGGCTCTGTGGGTTAAAGCCTCTGCCTTTGGCTCAGGTCATGATCCCGGGGTCCTGGGATTGAGCCCCACATCGGGCTCTCTGCTCAGCGGGGAGCCTGCTCTCCCCCAACCCTCCCGCCCCTGCCTACTTGTGATCTCTGTCAAATAAATAAATAAAATCTTAAAAAAAATAAATTCCATACATGGCTCACATTATATGACTTTTGGACAGTGCTGGTTTGGACAGCATTTCCTAAGCTAACTCATGAAATATTACTAAGTGCTCAATGTAACACAGTTTGGAAGAGGAACAGTGTCCAGTAGAACTTTTTGCAATGATATAAGTGTTCTGTATCTGCTAGCCGCTGATAGCTGTTGAGCACTTGAAATGTGTTTAGTTCTGAAATTAAAAAATTGAAATCTGGGATGCCTGGGTGGCTCAGTCAGTTAAGCTTCTGCCTTTGGCTCAGGTCATGATCCCAAGGTCCTGGAATCAAGTGCCACATCAGGCTTTCTGCTTGGTGGGGAGTCTGCTTCTCCATCTGCCCCTCCCCCTCTTCTTGTTCTCTTGTTTTAAAAGAAAAAAAGAAAAATTGAAATGTGGAAGAAAGGAACTGAATTTTGAATTAACTTTATTTTTTTATTTTTTTTAATTTTTAACTAACTTTAAATAACCACATATGAGTAGTTGCTAATGTATGGGTACTGTACTGATCTAGAAGATTTATGGGATTGTTTTATTTGAAGACCTGTACACGTAGGACTTACTATTTTGCAAACTTGCTAATATGTCTATGATTTGGGTTTATTATGAGTAATGAAAAGTGATCAGTAACAATAATATTTATTGAGTACCTGTTATGTAGCAGGCACTATGTAAGGATCAGAAAGAGGACTTGTATGATAAATTATTTATTAAGAGCTTAACTATATGTATTGCTCCTGTTTTGTATTATGAATTCCAAGGTGCTATTTGGACTTTACCATGTTTTCATCAAAGTCTGGTTTCTTTCCTTAATTTATGAATGCCCTTCTGTGAAAGCCTGGCTCCTTTTGAAAAGTCTGAGCAATGTGCTACCTTATTATAGGATTTTCTCTTGAAAGGGAAACCTACATTTTCTGACAGATGATGATGGTTTGTTTTTGTTTTTAGTTAACTTAAAAAAATTTACGTATTTATCAGAGAGTATGTGCATGCAGCGGGTGGGGGATGAATTATAGATGGAGAGGGAGAGAAAATCTCTAGCTGACTCTCTATTGTGGGGGGAGCCTGACGCTTGGCTCAGTCTCACGACCCTGAGATCATAACCTGCGTCAACATCAAGTGTTGGACACTTAACCAACTGAGCCACCCAGGCGCCCCTGTTTTTAGTAAACTTTTGAAGTTAGTTATGCTTTTGACTTTAACAGGGATATATATATGTCTTAGATAGAGACTTAAGAGTTCAGTATTATGTAGTATTTATTCTCTTCATTTATGTGTACACATACAGTTATAAGTACTAGCATCAAGCAGTGTTTATTTATTCATTTATTACTACTTCACAGTGAAAAACGAATGTCATCATGTCTGGACTCAAGCGAACAATCAAAGAAACTGATCCAGATTATGAGGACGTGTCTGTGGCCCTTCCAAATAAGCGTCATAAAGCAATTGAGAATTCAGGTACGAATGCACCTGCTTTGAGAAATTATTTCTTTGTTGAGATGTGCTTCCTTATAAGATTTATAGGGATTAAGACAAAATGCATTTCCACTGTTTTGTATAATCTGAAGAGGGATTAGTTAAATGCTCTGTTAATAGCAATCCACTGTGTGTACCAACGAAGACCAGAAGACAATCACATAGACAGTGAAAGTGTCAATAGTGAGACTGGCTGAAAGTTTTAGCTATCATGGTGTGTTGGGCATAACCATAAAGTCTTACAATATGCAGTATGGGTAGATGATAATGGGTGGTACATGGATTAAGGTTTTTTATTGCAGTAGTGCCATATTATTTTAATGTCTGTTGGAAATACACGGTCTCATCAAACTCATAGTTTCATGACTACTGTTGCTTAGGATAAGGCTAAAATTATTTAAATATATTATTTAATTATGTGAATTAGATGTTTCATATGATTCTCAGATGTAGTGTAGGTAACTTAAAGGTGGTATATGAAGGACCTGAATTTGCAAGATTCTGATCTGGTTTAACCCTTGCACTTAGCTGCTAGTAGTTTAGGCTCAGAGACGTGAAATTACTTGCCTAAGATCATATGATTAGTTGAAGAGCAAATTATCAACTATGTGTCTGTAGCTACCCAGAATATTTTAAGGTATCTCAGGAGAAGGTGCTGAATTTGGGTTTTTTAAACAAATTATTGCTGAAATTCACTGCTGTTTATTCAAATAATAAATCTATGTAAACTGACACGGCTGGGTACAGAAGGCATCCAAGTCATAGTGTTGTAGCTCCACAAAGATTAGTGCCCCTGGTGTTGAAGTAGTGAAAGAAAATTTGTGTCTCCAAGTGCAGTCAAGTCCTATGTACCTCCCAAAAGTCTTTGTGGACCAAAAATTATCAAATTGAATTCCAAATAATGAAAACATTTCACTGCAACCTTTCTCCTCATTCAGTTATTTTATTTATAAGGAAATTATTTCCTTTCAGTAATAAGCCAAAGACTGTGACACTTATATCCATTACTCAAATGCATCAGATGGCATGACTTTTTTAATAAAAATAAGAAGGAAAACTGATTGTTTTAGTGAACATAATAATTTCACTTTAAAAATAAAGTGTAATTTCCCAGGTACTTAGCCTAAGCAGGGATAGTTTTTCCTACTGAGGGATAATTTGCTATTCTTCCTCTTGGTGACCATTCTGTGCCTAATCCCAAACCGTATTTTTATTTTTCAGAATTTTTTTTTTTAAAGATTTTATTCATTTATTTGTCATAGAGAGAGAAGCGAGAGCGAGCACAGGCAGACAGAGTGGCAGGCAGAGGCAGAAGGAGAAGCAGGCTCCCTGCCAAGCAAGGAGCCCGATGTGGGACTCGATCCCAGGACGCTGGGATCATGACCTGAGCCGAAGGCAGCTGCTTAACCAACTGAGCCACCCAGGCGTCCCTATTTTTCAGAATTTTGCTTCTGAATACTTCCTTTTGCTTATATTGTTTTGTTTTTATTTATTCCATGAAAGACGTAATTTAGAAGAGTTTCTCTCTAAGGAGCTTATGATAAAACAGCCTTCAGTGATCAAGGTCTCTGACTTCAGCCTCTTTTCCCTAAGAGTATCTGCTGGTTTGTACACACAAGGATATATATATATAAGGATATATATAGTGATACTAGAAAATACTCTTTCACAATGACAAAAAGCAGTCATTTTCCTCCATGCAGACTATCCATAAGAATGCTCACTTATACCACTTATACCATTATTGGTTTGTAGTTGCCAGTTTAATGACATATTTTACAGGGAGAAAATTACATGGGTCATCAGAGGGTCCAAATTTCTCTGTAATTTTTCATACACTCCAAAGCATGCGTGAACATCATTTTTTTTTTTCATATTGTAGACATAGGCTCACTTTGTATAATTCCCAGGGTTTTTTTTTTTTTTTCTTTTTTAAGGATTTTATTTTTAAGTAATCTCGACACCCAGTGTAGGATTTGAACTTAGAACCCCAACATCAAGAGTCTCTTGCTGTACTGACTGAGCCAGCCAAATGCCCCCAAATTCCAGGGTTTTCAAGCAGTTCTTTGGCTCTTTTTTCCTCTTGTATCTGGATATTTTAAACTCTGAGTTGCATATTACTTTGAGTAGTCATCATCTGAATTCTGTGACCTCTAGAGGCATTTTTTTAATCCTCCTTTTTTTAATTTCAAGTTTTTTTTTTAAAGATTTGTTTGTTTGATAGGGAGAGAGAGCGTGCATGGGGGAGAGGCAGGGAGAGAGGGGAGAATCTCTAGCAGACACCATGACTTCAGACTCTATCTCATGACGCTAAGATCATGATCTGAGCTAAAACTAAGAGTCACTCACCTGACTGTGCCACTCAGGTGACCCCTTGAATTTTTATTTAAATTCTAGTTATCATATAGTACGTTATTGCTTTCAAGAGTAGAGGCTTGTGGGGGTGCCTGGGTAGCTCAGTTGGTTAAGCGTCTGCCTTCGGGCTCAGATTGTGAGCCCAGGGTCCTGGGATCAAGCCCTGCATCAGGTTCCCTGCTCAGCAGGGAGCTTGCCTCTTCCTTTCCTCCCTGCTTGTGCTCTTTCTCACTATATTTTCTGTCCCTCTCTCAAATAAATAATAAATAAAATCTTAAAAAAAAAAAGAGAGGGAGAGAGAGGCTTTTTTTTTTTTTTTTTGAGAGAGAGAGATTGAGGGGCGGGGTGCAGAGAGAGTGAGAGAATCCCAAGCAGGCTCTACACCCAGGACAGAGCCTGTTGTGGGGCTTGATCTCATGACCCTGAAATCATGACTTGGGTGGAAATCAAGAGTTGGACACTTTGGCACGCCTGGGTGGCTCGTGGGCTAAACCTCTGCCTTTGGCTCAGGTCATGATCTCAGGGTCCTTGGATCAAGCCCCGCATCGGGCTCTCTGCCCCCCCCCCCCCCGCCCCAGCCTGCCTCTTTGCCTACTTGTGATCTCTCTCTCTGTCGAATAAATAAATAAAGTCTTAAAAAAAAAAAAAAAAGAGCTGGACACTTAACTGACTGAGACACCAGGTGCCCCAGAGGCATTTTTTTACTTTTGAGTTCTTTCTTTGCTTGTTCTTTTAGGTAGTTGTGATCAGGAACTGCTGAATTGCTTGCTAGATCCTTCTCTATAGAAGGAAGTTCCCTGCCTTCTTTATGAGCTGCTCTTATGTCACAGACTATACCTCCCCTCTAGCTACCTCTGTATTTTCTTTGTCTTTGGGACTGTGGTTTTTCACAGGTCACCAAATATTTCTGTCAGAATCTTAATGGATTTCTTTTTGTTGTTCAGTAATTTTTATTTTGGTATAATTCCAAGCAGAAAAATTGCAAGGAATACTTTTATGTCTTTTATCCAGATTAATTAGCCAGTTGTTTATATTTTGCCTCATTTATCAGTCTTTTTCCCCACCCCCCACACACATGTGCGCGCGCCCTCTCTCAGATACATACATGTGTATGCAGGTGTATATACACATCATTCTTTTTAAATTGCTGGAAAATAAATTGGACACCTGTAAACACAAGTGTTGTGTTTCTTAAGATTTGTCTTATGTAATCGCAACGTTATTATCAGAAGCAGGAAATTTTAACATTCATCATTACATTATGTAGCATTCAGTCCATATTCGGGTGTTACCAGTTTTGCAGTATTGTATTTTATAACCGTTTCCCTCTCTAGGCTCCAGTCCAGGATCACAGAGTGCATTTTGTTGTCATACCTCTTTAATCTCTTTTAATCTCCTCAACCTTTCTGCCTTCCTTGACTCTAATGTTTGAATCATGTAAGCCAGTTATTTTGTAGAATGTCCTTCAGTTTGGGTTTGTTTGATGTTCCCTGTAATTAGATTTAGCATTTTTGGCCAGAATGCCTTAGAGTGATGTATACTTCTCAGTGCGTTATGTCAGTTTGCCGCCATGTTAGTGATGTTAACTTTTCATCATTGGTTAAGGTGACAGCCACTAGGTTTCTCCATGTAGGAATTACTGTTTCCTGGGTTTCTTCTTTTGCATACTGACTTAGATCATGATAGTCACTGAGTAATTAGACCTTGGATTATTTTATGTTCATTATGCAGCTCGAGATGCTGCTGTGCAGAAGATCGAGACTATTATCAAGGAACAATTTGCACTTGAAATGAAGAATAAGGAACATGAAATTGAAGTCATTGACCAGGTATAATGGTGATAAATAATTTTTTTTAAAAAAAGCTGTTGCAAAAAAATCTGTTGATAGAATCATGATTTTTCCCCTTTGCTGTTCTTTTATTTATTTAAAGATGTATTTATTAGTGCATGAGCAGTAGGGAGGGGCAGAGGAAGAGGGAGAAGCACACTCCCCACTGAGTCAGGAGCCTGATGTACATGCGGGACTCAATCCCAGGACCCTGAGATCATGCTCTGAGCCATGCAGGTGCCCCCCCACCCCCTTACCGTTCTTTTAAAAAGAGTGTTCTCATTTTGGAAAAAAGGTCTATATATATATTTTGCCCCTATAAATGAAATGCAGAAATACGTAATGAAAAAAATTACTTGAAATTCCATCCCCCCAAAAAATTCCTTTTTGCTCTTGTACCTACTATTTTTGCAGACATTTCTCAATGAGTATGCATACATACACATAAATATACATACTAACATGTCTGTATACTCTTGTAAAATTGGCTTTTGTCGAAATTCCTTTAAAAAATCTTTTGCAGTGTGACAGGTAGAGATGGTCATTTTTATTTGCCTTTCTTCGATTATTAGAGAATTGAGCTTTTGATCATTTGTATTCTTATTTTATGAATTTTTTGTAGTATATTTCATATGTGATTTCTGTTTTTTAAAGTAACAAGTTGACATTTGTTTTTAGCGACTGATTGAGGCAAGAAGGATGATGGATAAACTTCGTGCCTGCATTGTTGCAAACTACTATGCTTCTGCAGGACTTCTAAAAGTTTCTGAGGTAAGTCTTCCTCATCTACAGTCATTTCTGGCTATCCATATTTGGTGTGTGAAGGGGAAATTAGTGTTGATATGAAATTCCTGCCTTTGAAACATTTCTTATATTGACCTTTGGAACTCAAGAAGCCTATCTTACCTTCCTGGGAAAATACATAAACTGTCAATAATCTTAAGTATCATTTTTCCCTTTATTTTTATTTTTTTTATTTAGAGAGAGCATGAGCGAGGGGTGGAGGAGAGTTAGAGGGAGAGAGAAAATCTCAAGCAGGCTGCATGCCCAGTGCAGAGCCCGACACAGGGGTCAGTCTCATGACCCTGAGATCATGGCCTGAGCTGAAATCAGGAGTCATATACTTAAACGACAACTTAGCCACCAGGCACCCTAACATTTTTCACTTTATATTAAATCCTTCTCCAGCTAATATTTAGCACTGTTCCTAGGCTTTGTTAGGTACAAAGTTGAGTGAGACTGTATTTTAACTTGCCTTATTCTTCCTTTGGTTGTGATCAGCTTTGAAGTGAGTTTTAGATAGACTGATTTTCCTAATGAATAGCAATTTGTAGTTTCAGTAGATACACCCTATTCAGGAAGCCCTGATTTTTTTCCCCTCACTTCCTATGAAAAATCTCAAATCCACAGAAGAGATTAAATAAGCACCTGTTTGTGCATCATATTCACCATCTTAACATTTTGTCATCTTTGTTTTATCTATCTTACTTTTCTGTAAAACATTTGAAAATAAGTTCCAGGCATCATGATACCTCACCCTTAAATCATGCATTTCCTAAAGGATATTCTTGTATGACTTCCTGATAATTATTTGATAATCAGTCCATATTCAGATTTTCCCATTCATCCCCAAAATATCTTTTAAAGCTGTTTTTTGATGTAGAATCTAATCAGAGTTCAGGGGCTACATTTGGTTGTTTGGTTTCTCTAGACTTACTTTATCTAAAATAGTTCACCTTTTCTCCCCATGATATTGACTTATTTAAAGAGATCAGGACATTTATCCTGCATTTTGTGTTTGTTTGTTTTTCCTTGGGTTATTCCTTCATTCCGTTTTTCTGCAAACTGATAGTTGGGTCTAAAGATTTGATTAAAGTTAGAAGTTTTTGGCAATGATACTTCATAAGTGATACTAGATACCTCATATATCACAAACTGTTTGGAATATTAAGTTTTTATCACTTTGGTAATGTGATTGCCACTGGATTACTCCATTTATTAAGGAATAGGGATAGGATTGAAACTGAAACAGAAGTGTTTCTTCTTGTTTGATATATATATTTTTTAAATATTTTATTTATTTATTTGACAGAGATCACAAGTAGGCAGAGAGGCAGGCAGAGAGAGAGGAGGAAGCAGGCTCCCCTCGGAGCAGAGAGCCTGATGTGGGGCTCGATCCCAGGACCCTGGGATCATGACCTGAGCTGAAGGCAGAGGCTTAACCCACTGAGCCACCCAGGCGTCCTTGTTTGATATTTTGATAATTTCCTATAACTTTTATTCATTTTTCATTTTCAAATTTCCTAAGTTTTCTCACTTAGAATTAGATAATTCTCTTGGATAGTACTGGCTCAATGAGAGTGGTAGCAGGCCTGGGGGAACATACAATGCCATACTGGTTTGCATTGTCCCCCATGGTTTTTACAAGTGAAATGTACCATATTTTGGCTTTCATGTCATCCTGTGTTTCTCAAGGGTACCTGACCTTGGTCATACTCCCGATGTTGTCTTAGAAATCTGGAGCATTATTTGAATTTCTTCTTACATGTTAGGTAGTTATTTCTTCTACCGCAGGAGTTTCCCTAATACATACTAGAGTCTGAACTATTTTTTAGAGCTATCATAACAAATTGCCACTAGCTTCATGGCTTAAAACAAGAGGAATTTATTATTTCGTGATTCTGGAGGCTAACAGTCCAAAATCAAGGTGTTGCTAGACCATGTTCTCTCTCTGAAGGCTCTAGGAAAGAATCCTTCCTCACCTTCTCCTACCTTCTGGCAGTTGCTGGCAAACCTTGGCATTCCTTAGTTTGTGGCTACATCACTCCATTTTCTGCCCCTATCTTCACATGGATGTTTTACCTGTTACATGTCTTCACAGTTTCTCTCTCTCCACATTTCCCTTCTATTAGGTAAGCCCTAATCCCGTATAACAGTATCAACTTGATTACATTTGCAAAGACCCTGTTTCTAAATAAAGTCACATTCACAGGTTCGGAGTGGACATGAATTTTTGGGAGACACTCTTCAAAACAGGGCAGATTTTACTGTCCTCTGTTACGTGGTTTGCTATTGGATCCAACAAGATGGACATTATAAGCTAGTTATCTGTGTGACATGGGACTTGTAGGTACTCTGAAGAGGCTGTTGTCTATTTAATGTTTTGTTGTTGTTGTTTTTAAAATTTGTTTATTATTAGAGAGAGTGTGTGAGTGAGGGCATGATGGGGATGGGGAGCAGAGGGAGAGAGAGAAACTTCAGCAGACTGCCTGCTGAGTGGGGAACCTGACATGGGGCTTGATCTCATGACCCTGAGATCACAACCTGAGCTGAAACAAAGAGTTTGTTGCTTAACCAACTGTGCCTGCAGCACCTCCCCGTCTTTTTTTAAACCATTAGCCGCTCTGTGTTATTTGGTAGTCTAGAAGTGCACTGATTTTTTTTTCCTGTTATATTCTGATTTGAATTAATTGAAAGATATTTAGGTGTATTTTTGTCTATTATGATCTGCCATTTGTTTTTCATTTGCTGTAACAAAATACATCACAGCTCTAAAAAATAGCCTTTATTATTTTGTTTAAGTTTATTTATTTATTTATTTATTTATTTATTTTTAAAGATTTTATTTACTTATTTGCCATATAGAGATCACAAGTAGGCAGAGAGGCAGGCAGAGAGAGAGGAGGAAGCAGGCTCTCCTCTGAGCAGAGAGCCCGATGCAGGGCTCGATCCCAGGACCCTGGGATCATGACCTGAGCTGAAGGCAGAGGCTTTAACCCACTGAGCCACCCAAGTGCCCCAAAATACGCTTTATTATTGAGATGCAATAATTTTGTTGCTCTGAAATACTAGCCTCTGGCTCCTTTCTTACTGCTAAATTATGTTCCTTGCACAGCTTTTAAAAGCTGGGCTTCCTAAGAATCGTAGAATGTATCCCGTTATAACAGAATACACTGTATTTTGTATCCAAATAACAAGAAACACAGAAATACTCCAGGCCTCAGTACTGGACTTATGACAAACTTTACATGTAAGTATGAATCATTTTAAAGCATTCTATACTACATTTTACTCCTACTTGGGAGCCATTTTACATATACTTTTTTTTATATCTTTATATATTTTATAGGAACATCGTATGTAGAGCAGTTGATGTGTTTGTATTAAAAGCAGTGTGAGGCTTTTTTTTTTTTTTTTTAAGATTTTATTTATTTTTTTTGACAGAGATCACGAGTAGGCAGAGAGACAGGCAGAGAGGGGCGGGGAAGCAGGCTCCCTGCTGAGCAGAGAGCCTGATGTGGGGCTTGATCCCAGGACCCTGAAATTCTGACCTGAGCCGAAGGCAGAGGCTTAACCCACTGAGCCACCCAGGTGCCCCAAGGCTTGTTTTTTATTTTAAGTCAAATCTTATTTTATTTTTTTTAAAGATTTTATTTATTTATTTGTCAGAGAGAGAGAGTACACACAAGTAGGCAGAGAGGCAGGCAGAGAGAGAGGAGGAAGCAGGCTCCCCGCCAAGCAAGGAACCTGATGCGGGACTCGATCCCAGGACCCCAGGATCACGACCTGAGCTGAAGGCAGCGGCCCAACCCACTGAGCCACCCAGGCGTCCCCCCCCACTTTTTTTTTTTTTTAAGATTTTATTTATTTATTTGACAGAGATCACAAGTAGTCAGAGAGGCAGGAAGGTGGGGGGAACCCAATGTGGGCCTCGATTGCAGGACCCTTAGATGATGAGCTGAGCCTAAGGCAGAGGCTTAACCACTGAGCCACCCAGGCGCCCTAAAGTCAAATCTTATTTCCCATATGTTACCTTATATTTACCTCTATTTTTCATTTAGTTTCAGAGAACTTGTACCTTTAGCTTTTAGTGTTAGGACCTTCACATAATTATCACTTTCTAGCTTTTGTTGGTACAGACCACATTAAGGAGTTTGGACTTCATTTTATGGGTGTGGGCAGATTTTGAAGAATTCTAAGCATGTTCCCTAAATAGATCAGGATTTGGGAAGATTAAAATTTACCTACTTTTGGTAGGTTTGATTAAAATTTGTTTTGTTTGCTTTCATTTTTGCAGGGATCAAAGACATGTGATACAATGGTTTTTAATCATCCTGCTATCAAGAAATTTTTGGAGTCACCATCTAGGTCTTCCTCTCCTGCCAATCAGAGATCAGAGACACCATCAGCCAATCATTCAGAAAGTGATTCTTTATCTCAACATAATGACTTCTTATCTGACAAAGACAATAACAGCAATATGGATATAGAAGAAAGACTCTCAAACAACATGGAACAGAGACCGAGCCGAAATACTGGAAGGGTATAATTTGATGGGTGGGAGGGAGAAGAGAAGGAAACTAGTATTTTTAAAGTATATACGTGTTATTCCATTTCACCTTCGTAGAAACTCTAGGAAATAAGTTAATTATATCCCTTTTGAAGATGGGGCAACTGAGTCTCAAAGAGTTTACAGTTATATATATCCAAAAGTATCAGAACTGAGAATTAAACTGAATTAAACTGAGAATTAAACTGAATCAAAACTGGATATGGCACAGTCCTAGGTGCCATCCACATTGATAAGAGAGAAACCTTGAAGAATTGGCAATTCTGTGACCTTGTCCAGGGTCTTTCCAGCCTGTCATGTTTGTTCTCTCTCCATCATTTTTGTGAAACTTAAATGCTTTTATAAGGTGATTTATAACTGGGGGAAACTTGACAAATAATAAATAGAATTGAAAACCATTTATTCCTCTTTGATCCTGCCAATTCCTTATTTGAGTTCCCATCTCAAGCTGCTCTGAACTTCTTGGTGTATAATATTTGGCTATAGAGCCCTTATTGGATGATTTTTCTCAGCCAGGTGTTCTGTGATAGAGGAGATATCCAGGCTGCTTTTTGCATATTCAGACATCAAGAATTTGATTTATTGTTTTTTTAAGAGTTTTTTTAGGGGTGCCTGGGTGGCTCAGTGGGTTAAAGCCTCTGCCTTCAGCTTGGGTCATGATCCCAGAGTCCTGGGATCAAGCCCTGCATCGGGCTCTCGGCTCAGCAGGGAACCTGCTTCCCCCTCTCTCTGCTTGCCTCTCTTCCTACTTGTGACCTCTTATAAATACATAAATAAATAAAATCTTTAAAAAAATAGTTTATATATTTGACAGACAGAGATCACAAGTAGGCAGAGAGGCAGACAGAGAGAGAGGGGGAAGAAGACTCTCTGCTGAGCCCAGAGCCCGATGCAGGGCTCGATCCCAGGACCCTGAGATCATGACCTGAGCCTAATGCAGAGGCTTAACCCACTGAGCCACTCAGGCGCCCCAAGAATTTGATTTATTTTTGATAAAAATTAAATTTAAAAAATTTTCTGGTTACAAATTCATGTGTTCATTGTTGAAAATTTAAACTACAACAAAATAAAAAAGTTATTCATAATTCCACCACCCAAAAATGAAAACTTTTTTTTAAGATTTTATTTATTTATTTGACAGACAGAGATCACAAGTAGGCAGAGAGGCAGGCAGAGAGAGAGGAGGG